CTAGTCTGGGGGGCTTATCTTACTTCCCCATGTCAATAAGCCACAAAATAGCCCTCACTTTTCTATATCAGTTAAATCACTGTTTTGCTTTAAGAAATTTTCTTAAGCTCACTGAACTTCAGATCTTACATCTATAAAACGAGGAAATTTGTATTTTATAAATTCCAGAGGGTAACCTTTAATACAGCCAAGAGCTGTGGTTGCATTCATGTCAGAGATAAACTGCAAGGCAGCAGTGCACATTCTTACCAGAAAAAATGCAGAATACTTACTTGATGAGAATTTTATTTCTTGTCCAGGAAATCTCAGGCTGGGGATAGGATTCCACTGCACACATAAAAGTAGCCACTTCTTCGACTAAAGCATCCACTGTTTCAAGAGGAGTAGTGATGACAGGAGCTGAAAGGAAAAGAGAAATCAAAAGAGAACATTCTAGAATGTCGTTTACTAATCCTTCCTTAAGCAGTCAGATGCCATCACCTACCTGAATGAGAACTGTATCTCTTCAGAGCATAAATTTGCCACAAGAAAGGAAGATTTAATGTAGAGAATGTTGTTTTTACTTCCAAACTAGACATTTAAGAATCAAAAGAGAAGGCTCTCAGGGGAGTAGGACTTAGAATTTATTATATATGAGTAGAAGCAGATCCAGGTTTTGTGGAGCCCACTGCTAGAGCTCACTGAGCATCTTAGAAGGGGCTCTTGCATATGAGAGTCTCTGAAGCTTAAGCTACATCTGATTTACAGAGAATTCACATGTGCATATTAATAGAATAGAAAGAGACTCAATAATAAAAAGACAAAATGCAAATAAAAAAAATGGGCAGAGGATCTGAACAAACCTTTCTTCAAAGTATATAAGTGACCAAAAAGCACATGAAAAGATGCTAAACATCATTAGCCATTAAGGAAATGCAAATCAAAACCACAGGCTACTCCTCTTCACCCACAAAGATGGCTATAATCAAAAAGATAAATGTTCATGAGGATGTAGGGAGATTGGAACCCTGTGCATTGCTGGTGGGATGAAAAATGGTGCGGCTTTTGTGGAAAAGAGTATGGTGGTTCCTCAAAAAATTAAACAGAATGATAGTATGATCCCACAATTCCACTTCCAGGCATATATTCAAAGGAATTGAAAGTAGGGACTCAAACAGATACTCGTACACTCATGTTCATAGCAGTATTATTCACAAAAAACAAAAGATAGAAGCAACTTAAGTGTCCATAAATGAATTAATGGAAAAACAAAATGTGGTATATTGATACAATGATATATTATTTGACAATAAAAATAAATGAAGTACCGTATATGCTACAACAGGGATGAAGCTTGGAAACTATAAGCTAAGTGAAAGACGTCAGTCGCAAAAGACCACATATTATATAATTTCATTTACATGAAGTGTCCAGAATTGGCAAATCTATGGAGGCAGAAAATAATTAGTGGTTGCCTCGAACTAGGTGGGGTGGGGGAAGTAGAGGAATTAGGGGTGATGGCTAAGACTGCGGTCTCCAAGCCCCTGGCCACAGACCAGGACCAGTTAGGAACTGGGCCGCACAGCAGGAAGTGAATGGCAGGGAGCAAGCAGAGCTTCATCTGTATTTACAGCTGCTCCCCAT